GATCGATTGAAAATATTTTAATACATTATTATGTTTTTGAATGGCAACACTGCCCATCACGTCAAAATTTTCAAAAAATTTAAAAAACCTTGTGAGATATTATATACTAACTAAAACAAGTACTTTATTGGTTCTTGTAAAGTTTCGTGATCAGGACAAACCTTGGGGTCCACACAAAGTGTGCTTTCAGTGTGTAGAACTACTGAGAAAATGGACAAAAGGTACACGTAACTCTTTACCCTTCGGCATTCCTATGGTAGGGAAGGAACCAAAAAACTATGACGACTGCTACTTTTGCTGCTGAGATATCAAGGGTTTCAATTCAAAAAAATCACACAAAATTCAATATCCTAATTTACCTTCTGCTAAACGACCTGTATCACTAGGAATCCCTATTCCTCTAACTTTTCTTCACACCATCCAACAGCAATCATCAGATGAAAGTTCAGACGAAAAAACCGATGAAGATGAATTCAATCCTGAGATAGACCAACCTCAAAAGCTGAACTAAATGACTTAGTGAGAGACTTGGACCTATCGAAGGATGCTGCACAAATCTTAGGATCACGACTGAAAGATAAAAATCTATTGGCTCCAGGTACCACATTTCGTGGTATTCCAACCACATCATCAAAAAATATTCGCGGAATACTTTTCTCAAGAGGGCTCACGGGTATATTGTCATAATATTTCTGAAGTAGTCATGAAACTGGGAGCTGACAATTGCGATTCCACATCATGGCGGTTGTTTATTGATTCTTCTAAGAAAAGTCTTAAGAGTGTCATTGTTGCACAATGGTAATACTTGTGCCTCAGTACCTGTTGCTCACTCCGTGAATCTGAAAGAAAGTATAGCGAATATTGTTGGCAATTATGTGGAGATCTCAAAATAATATCCATGCTTTTGGGTCAGCAGTCTGGATTCACATAGTATCCATGTTTTTTATACGAGTGGTACACTCGAGCACCTTAAGAAAGAGTAGCAACTCGGAGAAAGACTAGTACCGGGACAAAAAAATGTGCAACGTGATACATTAATTGACCTCAAATTAGTTCTTTCGCCCCCTCTTCACATAAATTTAGAATTAATGAAGCAATTTTTCAAAGTTTTAGATAAACAATGTGACTGCTTTAAATATCTGTGCGACAAATTTTCTGCACTTTCTAAAGTTGCACGTTCTAAAGAACGAATTTTTGTAGGTCCTCAAATTCGAACCTTAAAATCGGACAGATTATTGCAGAATTCAATGACCCAGGATGAATGTGAAGCATAAAGTTCTTTCGTAGCTATAAAACAAGTCTCCAGACTATAAAAAATTGTAGTTAACATGGTCGAAAATTATAAAAAACTGGGATGCAATATGGTCTTCAAACTTCATTTTTTTGGTTACCACGTTGACTATTTTCCCGAAAATCGTGGAGCTGTCAGCGAGGAACTGGAGAAAGGTTCCATCAAGATATACTAAGGAAGATGAGATATAAGAATGATGGCTGATTACTGCCGGACCTTGAAGAGAGACTCGATTACAAAAAATCGTAAAAAGAAGACCACAAAATGCAGTTTTTATGGAAAAAGAAAACGGTTTTAATAAAAGACAACAAATATTGTCTAACGTAGGTTACACTGAACTCTTTTTTTTTTTAACAACTCAACTTTGTAGTGTAATTTTATATTAAATAAGGTTTGAATAAATATTTTCTCATTATTTTGGGCAGTTTCTGTGAAAAATTTTAAACACACTTTTCTTGAAAACCTGACGTGCTGGAAAAAAACTAAGTACAGATTCGTGATCAACATATCCCATTTACCATAGGACACCTATTCAACTTGAAACACCTTTTCATGAAAATAAAAATGTAGGCCTGTGTTACTTATTAGGAATAGAAAAAATATTTAATAACGTTTCCCATAATGATCTCATCATCACCATCACTAGCTTTACAACTCGAAGTGAGTCTTCGCCGCATTCACTATCGTCCTCCATCCTCTACGATCTTCTATTCTACATAAATTGGCTTCAACATCATCCTTCTATCTTTTTCTCGGTCGGCCTACTGATCTTCTACCATCCGATCTTTAAAAAAACACTGTCTTGAACACTCTGTCATCCTCTGATCGTACCACGTGATCTGTCCATCTTATTTGGTTTGCCTTGATATGTCTAACTATGTTTTCAGTTCCATAAAGAGTCTTCTCCAATCCCTGTGAATTCATCTCTTTGAGGGCCAGATATTATTCTGAAAACCTTTCTTTCAAATACGAGAAGCTTGATGATCTGATTATTGTTAAAATCTATAGGGTTGTAACAACTTTAAAAATTGCGATTTTTTCTATAGTGTCGGTTGTGTTATTTTTTAAGCGTTTGGATAAATTTAGTAATGACGTAATTGTTACACGGAAACGCGAGTACATTTCAAAAAAGCAGATAATCATTAATCTTACGAACTATCATTTGGATCGGCATGATAATGATTAATTATTAAATATAATAAGACTTATGCCCGAAATGAGTGGTGTTTCCATGGACGTATGGTGTTTCTAAAAGGGATATTTACAAAGTGTGCCAGGAGTATGCATCACCTGCTGGTCTCCAACAACCGAAGAAAAAGCCTGAAATCGGTCAAATGTTATCATCTCATAAAAATAAATACGATGAGACAGAAAAGAGCGGTATCCGTAGAATAATGCACCAACTCTTTCGGGAAATAGACTACCGCTGCAGAGCAATTTTTCAAGAAGTACACTATATCGTTTGTTGTGCGATATCGAGTTTAAGTTTGAAAAACGCTGTAGAAAGTCTATTTTAATTGAGAAACAGAGATAATTTCATGGCGTCATCGTAACCTACGATTCATTCGTCGATACCGCGAAGAGGGCTACAATATCGCCTATTTAAATGAGTCATGGGTAAACGTAGGCCACAGCGTATAAAAAGAATAGATAGACACGTTCATTAAATCGCATTCGTGACCTGACTACAAGCTTAAAAGCTCCTGCAGCGCGTGGTCCTCATTTTGTCCTCCTACATGCAGGATGTGAAAACGGCTTTGTTAATAGAGCAAAAATTACTTTTCTGGCAAAGAAAAACACCCAAGATTAGCATGACGAAATTGATGACCCACTCTTTGAAAATTGGTTCAGACATAACCTAATTCCTAATTTGCCAGAAAAACAGTTGTGGTGATGGATAAATGCTCCTTATCATAGCACGACATTGGAGAAAGTTCCTATCACTGCTTCTAATATAGAAGAAGTAAAAACATGGCTTATATCGAAAGACATATTTTTTGAAGAAAACACAATTTGAAAATTCTCTGCCTTCCGTCCTATTACTGTGAGCTCAACTCGATATAGTTGGAATGGTGCGAAGTGGGAAGATGTATTGCCGCACACAACAAAACTTTTAAAGAAATTAGGAACTTAATTACGCAAGCGTACTCACAAGTTACCCAAAAAATGGAAAAAAATTATATAAAAAACGTAATAGGAGAAGAAACGGAAATGTGGAGACACAACATGATGGATGACGGTATTTAACCAATTATTATAAACATTGGTAGGACGGACAGTGACAGTGGTGTTAGTTGTACTGACCCGGGCGAAGCTGATGAACAGTAACATAAGTTATTACGTTTAATTTATAATTAAAAAAACATCTTATGTGTCCTTTACTTTTATTTATTAATAAGAGTTCCTATTTCCATTATATTACAACACAAATGTATCAAACAACTTTTGTACAAATTTTTATATTAGCTACCCGCCTTCATCTGCCAGTTTTGGACCTCCTAATTTGAGATTACACATATGACATATGTTTAACATTGTTAAATACATACGAAATTGACAAATATTAATAATTAGTTTTTTAATTATATTTTTTCAGTTTATGTACAAAATAAATGTGGTATTAAACACTTGGTTTCTCAAAATTCATCATAATTTATCCTTTCAACCCCAAACTAAACAGAAATGGAAAAATCTAGTACTAACAAATCAAGTTTTTTATGTGGAAGACCATATAATTAAAAATAATATTAATAGTAAAAGTTGTGATATAAAAGCTAAAGTCATCAGGCAGACTGCAGTTAGCTTGAAGCCTTATGAAATATCACTTAAGGTAAATTATTTAAATTTTTCCAATTTCAATTGCATAAAAATGAAATTCTGTGATATTTACTTTTTCATATTAACATCACGAGTCCATTTTTTTCCTTTCTCTAATTTATATATAATCTTTGGGAACCTATAAAAACTACACTCACTATTTTTGCTATTATTAGCACAATTAAATACACAACACGTATTTGCAACCATTTTTGATAAAATTTATGTGTAAAAAGATAGGTCCAATTTTGTCATATTTCGCCACTACACACGATGGCATCGTTTCAAGGCACCCCTACAATGGTTACGCACTTAGCGAATAGTGTTGACGTTTTGGGCTATTTTATTATTGGTCAATTTTCAAAACAATAATTCAACCTCGCAAGGGGTTTGATAAAAATGTTTTTGTATGGTTCAAATTTTTGCATCTTTAAATATTGTTTTAAAATGGCCTAACATAAAATAGTCTGAAACTTCAACACTATAAATGGAATACAAAAGGATTAATTTATGATAATTCACAGAATGGGCGAAATAGGGCAAACTCGCTTGCAATATACATGATGCACATTAATTCTAACGTTTGAAACGCAGTATAGTTTGTTACCATCCATTCATCTATTCTGTAACAGTAAGCACGTATAGGAAAAATTATCAAATTAATAATTTTTACAATACTTCTATAAAAAATATAGTTTATTTTGATGTTGCCATATTCGATATAACCGTATTCAAACATCAGAAACCAATGAAGATTGTATACCGAGGTTTCACTGTATTTCAAGGTGAATTGATCAGTTCAACTCCAATATTTAACAGAAAAAGCATCCTTAACATCTCCCGATAAACACTCACGTATCGATTCATTAGTATTCAAGATAGTAACACTCACCTGATCTAGATGCAGTGCGTTGATTTGTAATTTCCTAGCGTACGATTTCGACCAGTCTATTGGAAGAATGTTACCGAAGTTTCCTGTCAACGTCCACCACATTCTGTAACAAAAAAAATGGGTTCAAGTACGACGAATGAATGATATGAACATATATTATGTCCTGGCTGCTTTCGCTTTTAAATTTAAATTTCATTTAAAATCAAATCACTGTTTAATAGCTTTATTTTACATAATAAAGAATGATGGGAATGTTTTATTAAAAATGTTTTGTTTGTAGTCTAATTGTTTGAGAAATATATATATATATATATATATATAATATATATATATATATATATATATATATATATATATATATATATATATCGGGGATCCCACAGCATCCGGCATTTCGATCTCCACCTCTTTCGGTCATCCATTCATCCTCATTTATGGCTCTATCTCCCATTATTCCTCTAATTCGTTCTCTCCATTCTAATGTTGGTCTTCCTCTTTTATTGTTCTACTCCATGGAACATAGTTTAAGATCTGTTTTGGCCTTACGTTCGTCTTTCATTCGCATTACATCATAATCATAATGCGAATGTGTGAGAATTGTTTCCATGTATGTGTTCAAGCCACTATCTATTTTAAGTTTATTTAATGCATTTTTTCCGATGCGGCAACACGGCAGTCCATGCAGATTTAATATGTCATATGTGAAGATGCAAGAAGTGTCCCTAAAAGCATATCAAGACGACAGCACTCAAAATACGAGAATTCGAGGCCGGCGGATAGCGAGCGGAGCATAATACTTATTAGCGGTCATATATTAATGTATTAATTCAAATAAAGTCAGTTTTCACACGGAGTTTGATTATTGATCCGGCCTTATATTCTGTTCAGTCTGTTTGCACACCTTAACTTCAGCCAAATGGTCGGGTTCTTACACCGGTACCATGAACAAATTTTTTAATGTCTTTTTTGTGGAGTCCAATGATCTACTTTTTAATAACTTTACCTTTATAAAGGAAAATTAAAAGTAGTGGTGCTTTGTAGTTACTTAAATTAGTGTTCTATTCTAGCATAGCTCTGAGGATGGCTTTGTAAGCCGGAAGCGCTTAGTTGGGAAATAAACCTTACACACTTCAAAAATACTTCTCTTTTCTTGGCCTTGATTTGTCATAAAAGTGTACAAAAACATATTAGTCTTTTCATTTATTAATGCTGCTTATCATTATTAATGCTAATCAACTTGCTTACAAATATCGAACCGCACTATCAGAAGAAAGTTGTGTGAGAATGGGATTGCGAGTAAGAACACTTTTTCCGAAAGAAAAAAACAGTTTCTGAAAAAACAGAAGTAAAAACTCATTAATTGAGTTTTGACACAAAGTGGACAGAAAAACAGTGGAGTAAGCTAATTTGAAATGATGAAACCAGAATCTCGATTTCTGAAATAATGGAGTGACGTTTGTGACCCTGTTAGTGTTATAGTATTGGCTTGTATGACCACACAACGAAGAACATTTGGTATTAATAGAGGGCAATATTAATGCACAATAATATGAGAAAGAAATACTGTAAGCCAAACTGCTGCATACTACAGAGATTTATTTGAAGGGGATGCTCAACAATGCATCTTCCAGCACGATGGAGCGCCCTGTCATACGGCCAACACTTCCATGGAATGCTGGAGAAACCATGACGTTACTCCCCTGACCTAGTCTGGGAATAGTCCCGATCTAAATCCAATAGAAAATGGATGGTAAATGCTGAAGTATCACGTCGAAACCAAAGTAACAAGAAAGAACTGATAGAACCCATTATTCAAAATTGGTTTAGAGTTGTTACACCAGAAGATTTGGCTAGTTTCGTGAACTCCAAGCCTTGAAGAATCGAGTATGTGCTAAAAAACAAAGGTTATCCCATCAAACACTAATTTTCTTTATAATAACTATTGTACCATTTTCTTTTAAATATATTTACTAATAGCTAACGGCTGTTGTTTGATTTATTTTTAAATTAATTTTTCGAGGGTTTATCTTCTTAAAATAGACGTTAGATATTAAGTAGAAGCAAAAAACGATGCAATAAAATTATAGATAATCTTAACATAAGTCGTGTGAAAAAGAGGAATGCTACTAACAAATGTAAAATTTTTGTAAAGTTCCCAGAACTTTGGCCAATAGTGTATTTTGAGATCCACAAAACTTTGTATTGGTTACTTAGTTTCATATTTAAGAAAACACTAACAGCAAGATTTATAAAAGCTTAGGAAAATTGAAAGGAAATGATCAGTATCATCTTTTCATGTCTTTCTACAATATATTTTTATGTTGGTTTTGTAATATCTCCATATCTTTCGTTCGGATTCAACTTCGTTTTTTTTTCACATTTTCGTTCACTGTCGTCATACGGAGGTTTGGGTCTTGGCAAGAATTAATCCATATCTGCTCCCTAGTTGCTCTTCAGAAGGCTTCGACCAGCCAAATCGAAGTTTTCTCATCGTTTCTGTTCCAATTTGGTGTGCTGGGAAATAGCTTACAATAAAACACAGTTTGGTAGTAGAAAGGTCCAAGCAAAAGAGAGTAGGAGTATCTAGCATAGCCTCGTGAAGGGGGCTCCCAGGGTAAGAGACCCTATATGGGAGCTGGAGGAAGACTAGATTGCCTTGACTTGGAAAATGCATCCTGTTTATGCATTTTTCTTTTGTATCGATATGTGCATTTTTAAATTAATTGGTCAATCTTCGTCTCATTGGTCCACAAACTAAGGCACGAAATGCCATCATTTTACTATTGTATATTTAAATTTATATTAACCCTTTAATCGGCAAAATAGAAATAGGGGATTAAACTTTCTGAAAATTTTGGTTTCGGGGTAATTTTGGTAAATGAAACACGAATAGAAAGTCCATTTTTCGATATCGTTATTGAGTCAGTCACAAAGTGAAAAAGAAGAATGCCGGCCATACGGCCGGTATATCGTTCTATAGGGGAAAATGAATTAGTCCTTTTTTGTTGCTTATAAAAACATTTAATTTTTTATTGATATAAACTTGATAAAAAAAATTAACAGGTAAATACTAAAAAATGAAATATATTAACGACGGACGTGGTAGTCTTTCCAACAATTCTTGGCACCGGAATAACATAAATGCAGTTGACATTTCGGGCAGAAAGTGTGTGTTTCCGATTTCTTGCAGTATTTGCAGGACTTTTTACGACCTGGAATCCATTCAGGAACATGATCAACTCCATCGTAACGTACATCTTCAACAGGATGCGCTGCCTTGTTGCCAGTATTAGTACTATTAGTAGTGAGCGGTGAGTTTGAAGGTCGACCAATGGGTCTTTTCTGAACAGAAGAGCACAGACCTTGAGCAATTTTCACATGAAATTGGAATAGTCTCATGTTTTTTTCTTTTGAAGTTCCTTCTTCTTTGAAATCTGTTTTCGCAGCATCCTCATTATGTGATCTGCGATACAATATGAACGCATTTGTGACAGCCATATCCAGAAAATGGTAAAAGATGCGTGTCATTGCATCCATTGTTTTAATGCGCAGTCCACTTCGTCCCATATGCGAGTCCATGAGGTCAACTCCTCCCATATGCGAATTGTACTCACGAATTATTTGGGGGTAGTCGACATCAATGTATTCTTTCTTTCTTTTGTCGTAACGAGTCGTTTTTGCTATCTGTTTGTCTGGATTCAATTTCTGAAATGGTTGGACCCCAACGTAAGTTGAACAAAGTTTTACGTTTTTGGTATCTTTCCAGAGGACAGTGGTAAGGTCCACACCATATGCACAACCCATATACTCCACTGCGTAACCCCGTTCGGCGTTTTTGATTTCTCTATCTGCATCCAGCGGAAGTTTACAATTGGGAATTCTATTTGCACGTATTGTCCCCAGTCCAAAGATTCCACGAGCTCGTAAATAAACTAAAAGGGGCAACGATGTGTAAAAATTGTCACAGTAAACGATATGGTTTTTGAAATTTGGAATTGTTTGTGACAACCTAATAACAACGTTGCTGGTAGCTCCGAGGTCTGGTGTTCCTGGCACGATGATGTTATCTCCAGCACCATTATATATCTCGAATTGGTACGAATATCCCGTGGTATCGCACAGTACAAACAACTTTATTCCCCATTTATGGGGCTTGTTCGGCATGTACTGGCGTAAATGGTGCGCCATTTTTGTCGAACACATTTGCTCGTCAACACATAACCGCGCATTCTTTGGAACGGAATTGAAGCGTTCATTTAAAATATTGGCAACTCTTCTAATTCTAAAAAGCGAATCATGTCCAGGTTGTCCTTTTTGAATACGCTCCGCTTCATTAGCAAAACACAAATATTTTTTTATCCGTTCAAATTTCTTTAATGGCATACACTGAGGAATTTGTCTAAATCCGAATTCTCCCCAGTGTGACTCCATGTTGGGATAACGAAAAATAGACATGTATAATAGAATTCCGATGTATCGTCGAATCTGCACCGCATCAACGTTGAATTGTGTGTTTATGTCTTTCAAACGTGCGTTTCGATTGGTTTCACAAACAATCAGGTCGATGAGTTCATCCGTGAAAAAATAACAAAAATACTCCATTGGTGTCTTCAGATTCTTTACAGTATACGGCAATGTAGTGTTTCCTCGAAATGCGACTTCATTGACATGCAATTGCATTGACTTTTTTCTCCATACAATTTTTGTGAACTCTGCTGAATTTTTGTCGATTGCATCCAAGCCTGAAAGAAAAAAAGAGAAAAAAATTAGTATGGCATTATGACTTTCCGTGTTTTATTAGCATACCTGTGCCAGTGAAGCCACCCGCTGATGGTACTATATGTGGTCCCGTAGCTTCTACAGTTGGTAACGGGGATCTGGGTCTTTTCTTTGGTTTGAATTTAGTGGTTGTCGGTAGTTGTGTGGAAGTTGATGCAATTGGTTCTTTTGATGATAACCGTACGGATGATACTGAAACGTCCATTTGAGTATCCGGATCAGTTGTTGAAACTTCTGGTGATATAGTTTCGGATATTATAAGTTCCGGCAAAGTTAATGTTGCCGTTTCAGAAGTAAATATATTTACATGTGATTCTGAAACAC